TATTTTAATAGTATAGTTTTGCGAATGTTTTGTGGTGGCAAGGACTTAATAAATGTGATTATCAATCAGAAGTTTAACAATTAACAGCTTCAGACTTTATCCTCAGGAAAAAAAGTGTTTCTGTATCCCAACTTAGTAAATTAAGGTAATACATTTGTGGCTGGATTTTTAGTATCTATACTTATCTATCTGTCCATCTCATCTGGCTTCAATATCACTGAACTGTAGGGATGATCAAAAGCAAAATCAGAATACTGAAGCTAGGGTCTCGTTTGAAATCTTGTCTTTCCAAGCTGATACTTTTCCAGTCATTCTGCCAGCAGTCTCAGGTCTGCATCATCTATTTAAATTGTCATCTCATCTAAGTGCAAATCTTGGCCCAAGCTGAGGCCATCTGTTGTTGGGTAATAGTTGTGATTTATTCTGCCTCTGGTTGACGTTCATGCTCATGGTCCAGATGCTGACTTGCAAGATTTGCTTTTATTCATTTTCAGTTTTATACCATGTGTTAATATCACAAACAGCATTTTAATTTTAGATTTTTTTTTCTCTAGTGTTTAAAATTAGGGATGAGTAATAGCATCACACACCCCTCTGGGATGCAGTTCAGCATGCTGCAGAACAGGATAGGACAGGAGAAAATATTTTACATTTTAGAAATGCATTCAAACACTGTTTCTAAATGTCTAATTTCTTCCTAATCACTAATCCGTACACTCACTTATGTTACATATAAATAATTAGGTATTGCTTTCAAATAAAAGGTGTGGACTATTTGGAGACTTTTGGGCTCGAGAATGTTGTAGGTAGTGAAACTGTAGGCAAAATATTTATGATACTCTGCAATACAGCTGCTACTACCTTTGCCTTCAATGTAGAATGAGGGTAATTAGGAAACTCTGCAAGTTAGGACTGATCGTCAGAGGGACACTCCTGCATATAAAAGATAAAGATTATTAGGGAGGTGGATAAATTTCCCTAATTCCAGATTTTGAAAAATGGCTCTTTGTAGTAGAGATGGGCAGTATCCAACTTCCAGACAATCTGTGCGTCTTGCGCATTAGCTCCTGGTAGCCGCTTGAACTTAGAACTGACTGGCTTTTTATATGTCTTTCTGCTCCAAAGTTGGTGTTGAAACACTGAGGAGTTGTGCAGCAACTCCAAAGCGTGTTTGGATATACAAATGCGGATGGAAATGACTTCATTGTCTCACTATCTGCTGTGGGAGCAGAAGGCTCTGGGTCTTCCTTCTCACACTGTTCAAACTGCTCCAGTAAAGCAGAGGAGTAGCAGGTGAATTGATACACAAACGTACAACTTCGCTGTGTAGTTCTAGGAGATGTTTCAGAGTCTGGAAACTAAGGGGGAGTTAATTGTAATATCTTGGGTAACAGAGCAGCTTCATCGAAAATTGTTTCCTATGCAACTTGTTTCAGATCCAGTGAGTTGATCTTGTCGGGCTGTGTTTGAAGGGATTGCTAGTAACAGGACATGTATAATAGGTATCAAAAGGTTTTATCATATCAGTTTCTGTCTCTAACAGGATTTTTTTTGTGGCTGAGCAGAATGTGTTGGGCCTGCCGTGATGTGTGTAAAATGAATTCACTTCATTAGGTTAGATTGAATTACAATGTTGGCATTTTATACATCTGCCTTCCTTCTCATATTCCTTTGATTTTGAGTGACTGTAATTTCTAGCAAGCAATGCTCCTTTTGTTTCTCTGCTTCAGGGAGAGAAGACTGTCCAGGTGGGATTTATTTATTACGGCTTCAGGTGTTTGGATGTTGGTTGACCAGTCTGAACTAGACCTCATTCTCATGACAGTCACTGGAGAGCAGCAGGCTCCTCTGGAGCTCCTGTCATCTCCAGTGCTATCTTAGTGTAGAGCGAAATACTTGCTAGAGTCGCCCACTTCTGTCGACTGATCTACCAGAAAATGACTTGGTGTTTTTGTTTTAAGCCAGAATTATGAGGAAGGAGAGCGGATAGTGGTGAACTGCTCATGTCTTCTTTGCAGTTCTTGAAACATCATTCACAGAAATCTAAAATTATTTGCAACTAAATCTAACTTCTGGTATTTAAAAAAAAAGGCTTCTGGGTGAGGCAGAACTAAGAAAGGTGAATTTTACATCTCATTTTCAATGTAAGGTTTAGAATAAAGTATTGTTTTCCAGCAGATCAGTTTGGAATCTGAACCTGCCCAGCAGTATTAATGTGTAGTTCGTTTGCATTGTAGTCATGGAAATGAAATTTGTTAACTGCAGAGTCAGTCTGAGCCAAGTCTTTGGATTTAACCATGATGGAGGAGATGCAGAGCTTGTAAAGGCCAAGTCTGAGGTGTTTGCACTGCCTCTGTAGTTACCGTAGGGCTCTTAGGAGAAGTTGGTACTGACAGTGTCTGTCCTGTGGACTGCAAAAAGAGAATCATAGGATCATCAAAATGGGTAGAGAGAACCTCTAGTGGTGCCTAGCCCATCCTTCTCCTTGAAGCGGAACTGTTGCCAACAGTACATGAGGGCACCCATGGCGTTGTATAGCTGGGTCCTGGAAACCTCCAAGATCCCCTAACTGTCTGCTGACCTGTTCCAAGATTGCACCACACTCTGGGTGAAAAACTGTTTCTGAATGTCCAACCTGAACCTTCTGTGGTACAGCCAAGTAGGCAATGACGCAGGAGGTATCTGAGGAATTTTCCTTATTTTGTTGCTATCCAGAAATTTGGCATTTCTGTCACGACACTGCTGTTTATTTGTATAGAGGTACTCTGATTGTAAAGTCTTTGTGATAGTTCTTAATACATTTTATACATACAGTAAATAAAGGTGCCATTGTAAGCAAAACTAAATCAGCATCAATTAACATACTGCTCTTCAGATATGTTAGCAAAACAGAGTTGTTACTTGTAACGATTCACAGATGATCATCTATGCAGTACTTGTGTTTTTCTAGGTAATGATGTGGGCTCTCAAAAGCATTGAAAAAGAAAAAAAAAACAGGATAAGCATTTTTTAAGCGATGTTAAAAATAGTTGTCAAATCATGACAAGGACGTTGTTACAAAATGTAGTTTTAATGGACATCTTATCTTTGGCCTGCTCCCTTGGGAACACTGAATTTCAAGAACAGTTTTTCTGTAAAGTTCATTGTCTTGCTGAGTGTTGTCTTAATCTCTGTGGTTCAAAAATGAAATGGGAATTACATATGTAGTCTGAGAATTATACCAGAGTGGTTTTATAATTTTGGTACCAAGATGTTTTTAATTACAGTCATTTATTGAAGTAATGTTTTCTTCTCATGGCCAGTCATTTGGTTTTGGGGGGGATTTTTGGTGGGAAAAAAAAAGAGTGATATTTCTGCAATGTATCTACAGAATATCTTGATATATTTAATACCTAACTTTGTGTGTAACTCAGTTCCCTGAATCTTCGGCAGAGCAATGTAGTGTTTAGATATTAAAATGGGGAAAATACAGTTACCATGACATTGAGATGTTAACAACTGTCCCCCAAGGAAGTCTAATTCAGTCTGCCAAAAAGATAACCTTGGCCAAAAGCATGAGAAGTTTTCTGTGCCTGTTCTTACTCTTAAGCAGGGAGCCGAAAAGCTGCATGTAAAGGTTCTGAGTGCCGGGTTTGTAAAATACCGTGGGAGTTTTACAAATGGAAAAGCATGAAATAAGATGAGAGTATCAAACTTGCTTCTACTCTTTAACCATGTGAGATAGATGCTGGCTCTTGGAAAGAGAAGATCTGGTTTTAGGACAATTGCAAAAACTTCTTAATGAGTTGGTCTCCACATGTTTGACATGATGGCATCTACCAGCTTTCGATCTTCTCAGAGACACTGGGAATTAATTTGGCATTGCTGGGACTGGGAGAGGGGCAAACACAGGGGCTGGGAAAATAAACCTTTCTATTAATTCTCTGGGACCTGGAAAAGATACTTAGTGATTGGCGGGTTTTTGTTTCACTTAGAGCCTGAGTTAAAAATTTAAATTCAACTTGTCAATTATATAAACACGGTCTTTTGTTCCTAGTTACTAAGAAAGAGCAAATATACTTCCCTCACAATGCCTACTGTGCAGTGAGATAGTGTGGTGAAGCAACCTTCTGTCAGGGAAGCTAAGCTTTGAAAGGCATGGGAAGCTTCCCTCACCTTTAGTAGTTTTTCTTTGGTCCGTCTATGTCAGCATAGCACAGTAATATGGGAGACACCTGGACTGGAGCTTTATGTTCTGTTACTTCTGTTGATAAGGGAAGAACCGTATTTTCCCAGGCTGCAAGTTGAGCAATTTGAGTACAGCAACAGCAAAAAATACTGAAGAAAGGCTGCCTTTTTCCTCGCAGGTCAGGTCCATGTCCAGAGCATCTCTTGCAGATGCAGCTTCCACTGCTAAAACCCAGGGTAGTTAGTAAGTTCACTGCTGTCTTACAAGAGCAACCAGCCACCTCACAGTTGAGATAAGCTGCTGAAGCACAGCTTTGCCATCAAACTTCCCTGGTAGGTTTTGTCAGCAGAGCTCATGTTTCATGCCCCGTCACAACCCTGACCGATACAGTCCTACTGGATGAGGCATGTGGTGCAGAGCTTGACATAGATAGAGCAAGATGATGTTTATATATAAAGCAGACAGCACTGCAAGTAAAGGCTCCAGTTCAACAAAGCCCTTAACCACATGTTTAAACATCATTGGAGTCAACTTAAATTACTTTAATCATATACATAAGTACTCTGTTGAATGAGGGCTTAATAGCAGTTTCCATCTCTTTCCACATGATCAAGGCTTTTTCTTATTCTGCTGCATGCGATAGGGATTTCTTCTCAGTTACACAGCATATGAGCAATTGCTGTGACTTTTGGAAGACTCCCTCAACAATTTGAATTTGCTAAGCTGTTGTAAATAGTTTTATGTGGAATGCCTGTAAGACAGAATGGAAAGGAATTTTCCCAGCTCTGTATTTTCAGGGTAGATTTAACACGTCTTTTGCCCTATTTTCTAGGACCACCTGTTATTGCCAGCCACTACACATAACAAGACCAGAAGACCAAAGATGTCTATAGTGTTGCCAGCTGTAAACATCAATGGTAAGTCCAAAACATGAAAGAGAATGATAGGAGAATAATTTCAAAGAGATGTGCCTGACTTGTACATGGAAACCAACCTTAGACCACATGTCTGACGTTGAAAAAGAAGTCAGACTGGTCGTTACTGGGCCTTAGTTGCCAGGGTGCCCATTGAAGCTGGGGTGCAGGCAAATCACCAGTGCCTGGTCACCTTGAGACTTGGCCAGCAGTTCTGCAGTAGCTCATTCTAGCTCCTTTAAGGACAGAGGTGGCTCCATCCAGTCCCAGTGATTTATGTGCAGCTGATTAAGGGTTATGTGTTATCTTCTCTAACTTGGTGGCTACAAAGATCCCATTGAGTGTGGAGGCTGTCCTCATCCTCTCGTTTGGGTTCCTCCTAAACCCACTTAGCAGGGCAAATTCCTTGGCCCTGCTGGTTTGTTAGGATGCTGACTGCCTTCCATCGGCTTCCTCAGCTGTTTACCACTCTGTTATACAACACTCAGTGTGAATGGGACCTCTCAGCATGGTCAGGATTAATAATAATCATGTTACAGTGCTGCAGGACAGCAGGGAAAACAGCTTTGCACTAGGGGCACAGGCTTCTTAGCGAGCAGAAATGTTCTTGATCTGCGTTTTACTCCCACATGAGAGACAGGACATGAGCTTTATAAATGTATCATTAATTCATATGGTGAGGAACTGCCAAGTTAGGACATGTTTGGGGGACAGGGTCACTGTCATCAAACGCATCATGAATCCTGTAATAGTATAAACTTTACTTACTGAATACCTGTAATGCTTTTTTAAAACTTAAGTGTTGTACAGTACAAGTGAGTCATAAACCCAAATGTTTTTGTTAAATTCAAGCATGCCGAAAACATTATCTGATGAATGCAAATTTCCATAAACTAAGAGGAAAAAAAAAAAATCAGACTTTCAACATTTTGACAATTACACTTTCCCATGCAGTACAGTAAGTCGAGTGTGATAATCTATAACCAGCTGTCTTAGGGCAATTTTTATTAGATATATCAGAGTATTTTTGGCATTTATCTGCTTGCAACTCCCTTTTCACGTCCATTACAAAATCCTTTTCTGGCTGAGCTGAATTATCACGTGCAAATGGGCACTTTATCACTTGAAGAACAAATGCTATTTCTGAATTACTAAGTATTTCTTCTTAACATGTTACTTAGTCTTGTTTTACTTGAAATAACTTTTCAGTTGTTGAAGTAAATACAATTTGGAAAATACACATCAGAATCCAGTGACAAATCTTATCCTTCATTAATAACAAAACATTGTGAAATTGCAGTTACTTGAGTTCTTTGGGATTTTTCTTCATAACATCACCATAATCCAGGAAATAAAAAAATGTCCAGGGATTTGGGCAGAGATGTTGAAACAGATGAGATGCAAGGATAGCATTAAGTAAACAACGGCATCAAACACTGTTTCCTCTGTGACACTCAACCAGGTATTAAGAAAAAAATTACAAGATAGGCAAGGGCCAGTACGCAACTTGGCTTGATTTTTAATTTGATTATTAGTAGATTACCTGGAGGAGATGATTCCCTAAAAAGTTCTGCCTGGGGAAGAACCCATCTCTCTCCATTGAGAACGTTGCTGCTCCACCCTATTCTGCCTCTGCAGGGACTGAGCACATCCTGAACAAGCATCTGGAAGTTAGCCGACAGCAAAGCTTTCCTCTCAGCTGTCTGCTGTTCTTTTGAGCCCACCTTAATTCTTTGTCCTGCAGAGAGTTGGCTGCTAGAAGAGGACTGGTCTCCCTGGGAGGAATTGGCAAAACTTCCAGTGAAAGAACTTGTGCCTTCCTCCCTTTCCTCGTGCCTGAGCCAAATCTCTGTGGAAGAAGGGAAACCTTTTCTACTACCGCTTCCTTGCCCTTCCTTTCTGCTGCCACAGCTCTGGCAGAGGAGATGAAGGGAATGTGAGTGAAGTGGCCTTTGCTTTGAAACTTTTTCGGAACCTCATCACTTGCTTTCTTTTGCAGGATCTTTATTTGTCTGTGTACTAAAGTTTACCCATGACACTGTTTCCAAACATGAAACAGCTTACAGTTCAGTCAAGAACCCTTTGAACTGCTTGGACAGTCTTTTCCCAGCAGGACTGTCATCCTTTTCTGATTGCACTTTGCTTGCTTGAGTGCCTTCTGAGCTCTGCTAGAGACTTTGCCTTTAGCTGGTTTGAGCCATTCCCACCGCCAGCTGCAGGGACAGAGAAAAGGTACGGACAAAGATTAGGAAGTAAAAAGGAGTTGTCAGTTGCTGTCCTATGTGACTCTACATGGAGATTAGTGACATGGTCCTGCAAGATTGGTCTGGCGGTTTTCACCAGTGTACAAAGCTGAATCAAGCTTACAGTTTGAAGAGGTTTTTCCTGGACGGAAGAGTTGGGGTAAGTCTGGCCAGTGGCAGTCCTAGTGCTTTGCAGCTAATGGCAAATCTCAACAGAAAATTTTGTAGTAGGCAGGTGTGTGTATGTGTGCATTCAGTAAGATGGAAGTTTAAAAGAACAATATTGTACAAAGCAATAACAAACAGTACATTATTCATTTTCAAGATAAAAACTTGATAAAAACTATTCAGTTGTATGTTGGAAAAGAGTAAAAATGGCCATTACTTTGTAATTCTCTCTTACGTGCTCCTTCTGGCCAGCCTGAATCACCCATGCTTCTCTGCAAGCATGAGGATAAGCCAGCGAAATCCCCACTGAGGGCTTCTGTGCAGGTGCACAGAAATATGTTTAAATATTTAAATATGTTTAATATGTTAACATATGTTAAATACCTTTAAGTATTAATTATTTTAAAAGTATAGTAACTTGTTACAGGTTGGTGCATGTTAATCCTCCCTCTCTTACCTTCTTTTTCTGCTTCCCCACCCTGTTCCAAGCCCCTTTCCAAGCTTGCTGGGCCACCCAGTTCCCAACCAGCACTTGCTGTCAGCTCTTCCATTTCTGCCTCCCCAGATGCTCTCGCAGCCCTTTACCCTGCTCCCATTTTCCTGCTGGCTGCTGTCCCTCAGTACAGCTCTCCCCTTGGCCGCTGCAGCCAGCCGTGCCCACGTTTTGACCTGCCTCTGCCCAACGACAAAGCCCCAGCATTTGTGGACACAAGTAGTACTCACAGAAAATCTTCCTGGCGGTACCTAAGGACCTTAGGGTTGGTAAGCCTGGAAGGAAAAAAGCAGAACTGGGTAGTCCTAGTCCCACTGTACGTGGTTTTGGAGGCACCATTGATGTGCCTTTACTGAGAAGTTATTACGAGCAGAAATATCTTTCAGTTTCTCATGGGAATGAAAGCCAACTGCAATTTACAGTTAAACTCCGGCTTTTGTTTTTAAGCAAGTCATGTTTGTTATGCTGGATTGCAGCTATTATTTTAGAAATCTAACTATGCACTTGAGACCAGTTAAGTCTCCAGTAGATTTCATTCCTAAATATGCTTTTATTGTAATTCAGAGTCTTGTTGGCTCATTACACCAATTCCAAACTGACATATAGGCGGTGCCTTTCTTGAAGTTTAAATGAAACCATCTGCCATTAGCCTTCTATTTACTTAACTGCTGTAAAAAATGCAGTGGGTTATAACATCGATCTTTGGATCAAAATAATCTATAGAGTAAAGCATAGCTAAGCCACTCTTCCTACCCCAAGCCCAAGCCTTTTGTCTCTGCAGGATGCCTGCAGCTCTGCAGCACAGCACACACCACCAGAAGTCCTCTCCTTGCAGCACACAAAAGTGAGAACATATGTACGGTCATTCAGCGTAGGAGATAGCATTCAGCATTTAGCCCAAGAAGCCACTGTCATTAACGCTTTTCTCGCTAGGATTAGGTTAGATGCTCTCACAGCTTGCGCTTCCTCTTGGTAGGAGCAGCTGTTTGTCTGTGCAGGTGGGTACTCACCATGAGTACTGGTGGTCTTAGCAGCAGCACAAAGACCAAAAAGGCCTTTTTTCTTCTTAGGATCCCTGTCCAAAACGGTTCCCCATACATGAAAATCCTTCTGTCATTTGCTCTCTCTAAACAGGGTTGGTGTCTGCACTTTCAGCCAAACAAAAGTGAGAGACCTGATGAGAAAGCCACTAGTAAGATCTAAGGCTCGTCTGGGAATTGGCAGCCATGGCAGAGAGGGTTTTGAATGATATACAAATATTCTGGATAGGTCCTTAGCCTAATGTCGTGCAGTGGGACTCTTGTCTTCAGTCTGCCTTTGAGATAGTAGTTTGTGTGCCTGACTCTGTGACTTGCATGTTCCTGGTTCTTAAGCAACCCTGTTATCTTAAGGGTTGTTTTTTCATGAAACACAACAGCAACGTAGTCTCCTAATGGTAGAAATTTATTCTGAACAGGATGGCGAATTTTACGAAGTCCGTGTGGCCAGCTTCTGATCACTGCCGCTTCCCTCAGCCTTCCTTCCTAGCATCCATCATCATACCGATGTAACAGACTTCAAAAGTGCTCTGAAATAGTACACATTCTAGTTAAAATGGTCAATAACAAATCTAGTGGTAAGGCTTTTTGATCAAAACTGGAGGGGTTTCTACAATCAAGCAGCATGATTATTTGCATGCATCTACAAAGAACATTCTTTCAGCTGACAGCCACGTGCAAAAGCCACTCACAGATGTCTAAAGCTGGTAGCAAACTGTCTGTGAAAAATCCATAAGGCAAACAGAATGCACACAGGCTGAGAAGGAAAATAAAAACAAAAGATCTTTGGGAAGTGACAATGTTCTGTAAGTTCCCGTGTCTTGGGGTCAAATAAATAAAGTCTCCAACTTCCTCTGCCTTTCAGGGTCAAGCAAACAAAAGATGCCATTTCCGTCTTTCTTTTGAAGCAAGAAGCAGAATTCCCAGTCAGTCATCGAATGAGGAAGGTCTAAAACAATACATATTGCTTACCGCAGCTGGCTTCCCTGAAGGTTGCTGCTTAACATTTTGGGTAGCCTTCTCTCTCACTTTGAATAGCTTCAGAATGGTTTCCCGGGCACT